CATACTTGGAGACTTTCTGGGTGGAAGTGCAGACATGCTCAGTGCTCCTTCCAAGCATATGGACCGGTTGGGGGGGTGTGGGCTCCCACATACCGAATCCTGCCGGGTCCATGGGGAGGATGCATATGGGATTGGGTAATTCACCGAGACATCTGGGAAATTAGACCTCCTGGTATGCCCAATCGATTTTTAGTCAATGTTCCTGGGATTACATCTGACATTTGGATGGGGTTAGGAGTCAATGGACATTTTGGCCATTAGAACCCCCACAGCTTCAGTGTATCCGTAAACTGAAGCCAGGAGCAGTTGTTACTCTTTATGACTACGTTTGCTGGGAGGTTAGGGGACAAGGAACTACCCTGACAGGACACTTCCTTTTTCAAGCTAATGCTAGCTGTGTGTATGTTAATGCCACCACATCGCAAGACATACATTTTAATCTCACTACCACTGCAGGCAATCATATTATCTACTGGCCTGCAGATAGAATTTTGCAAGTAGTCCTTAGGTTCCAGATACCCTTTAATGGGACTAGTTTAGTACCTGATCGATTTCATAATTTGCTTTCACTGTTACCAGAGGTTCAGAAAATCTCTGAAGTACAAGGGCAAATTCACATGCTTCAAAATATATATCAAGTTGAAAAGTATGCTTTCAGACAGTTTATAGAATACCCACCTTATGTACTAATTATGATGTATTGTATTATATGACTAAGTTTGTACAACAACCCCATCATATTATCGCTATGGGAATGTTATTGCTTGTGTTGTTGTTAGCTAGTGTAGGAGTATGTTGTTGTTGTTGTAAAGGACATAATAATAGTAATACCTTTCATGTCCATGCTCATCATGCATTGTCATTACATCCAATCAAAACCCCTAAGGTTGAAGCATCTGATGTAGGATCTGAATTCCGAGATTTAATGCAAATAGAGATTTGAAAATGTTTGTTGTACTAGTAGTACAAAAGGGGGGGTTGTGGAAGCAGAGAAAGAACTGACAGGAAGGGGATGCAATGCATGACAGTTCGTTAGCAAGAGTCAGGCTATCTGTAACCCTAATAACGTGAGATTTGTAGAAGCGAGGATTGTGTGAGGCGAGTGGGAAAGAACTGTGTGAGAAGTTGTTGTGATCTTGTGTAGATAATGTGTAGAAAATACTGTATGCAGACTAGAGTCAAAACAAGTGAGAAAAATAAGATATCAAGATGGCCTATGTATAAACAAAATGCAGCTGTTGCTTATTATTGTCTGTAATGAAAGGTATAAAGGTTTGCTGTAACTGTTTACCTGTAGAGAGACCTGTTTAGCTCTCTCCCTCTAAGCAATTGTTAGAGAAAATAAAGTATCTGATTTGCTGTACCCAAACAAAAAGTGAGAACTCTGTTATTCTCCGACAGGCAAGTCAGCTGTCCTGCTGAATACAACATTAAATATTATGGAATACATACATGATGCAGCTCTTCTCTGTTTTACATTTTCTTATTAAAATGTGTATTTTAGATAAGGGTGGTCTTTTGACGGATTAAAAAAAAAAAACTATGTCTGAAGATCCAAGCATTTAAGGCTAAAGATGAATACTCAGATCGTGCATCTAAAAATCTATGCAAGGATTTTTTAGAGATGTGATTTTATAATCTTCAGCAATCTTCCAATGAAATATTTTTAAAGCAAATTTTAAACTAAGGTTCCTGTAGACTAACATGTTCTGAGTAAATATTACAGTGATGCACAACTGTTTTTGTCAGTAAATTCAGAAACCGACAGTATATATCTAGGGGTTGGCAAATGCCTGTTAAATGGCCTCATTACCACTTGAATAGCTCTTTAACAGTTTCAATTTTGTGCTAATAGGTCTGGCAGGCTGGAAGGCTTTTTCACTTTTAAGTTACTAGATCCCCTCTGGAGGAAGACTCACCAGGCTGCAGCAGCCAGCTGTGGGAGCCTGCAGGAAGGGTCAGAATAGGTATAGGAAAAGGTGGGAGGGTGGACCCAGGGGTGCCCCAAATTTTCTGGGGCCCTATGCAGCTGTGTATGCTGCGTATGCCTAAGGACGGCCCTGCTGACAGATAACACACTCCCCTTCCACCCGGAGGAGATGCTGCCTTGAGATGCAGGGCAACAGGAGCTGGTCTCAACCACACCCACTCCTGGAAGCATACTGTTTTCCACTGCTGCAGAGGAATTGAAGAGAAACTCTCCAATTCCTGGAGCAGTTCCTGGGACTTAATCCTTTTCATCTGGCATCCCAGCATAATACTCAACAAGGTTAAACATTTCTTTAAATCTTGCAAACCTTTTCCCCCATTAAATCTTTCATCTGGTTCTGATTCTCTAACAAGTCCAGTTGGTGCTTTCTTTTTCTTTCCTTCCCCTCCATTTCCTTGGCTTGCAGTTCCATGGCTAGTTTCTGGGTCTCAATTTCTTTATTAGCTTCTATCTGTTTCGGTTCCAAAATTATCTGGTGTGCATCTTGTTCAGCTTACTTCTGGGCTTCAATTTCTCTTATCTGTACTTGTCTTGATTCCAAAAGTCTTTTCATTTTCTTCTGCTTGAAGTCTAAAAAGCTCCAATTTCACAATTATTTCACTATTTTCACTCATCTTACTACTTTTCTGTCCCTACTTCCCTTTCCCAAAATAAGCAAACAGAAAATAACAAACTGGTAACCTCTTTGACTGATGAAGTGCAAATCTTACTCAGAACAACAAGCTATGCATATGACTCTGTCAAGGCTCCTTCCCCACTGTGAACTTTAGGGTACAGATGTGGGGGCCTGCATGAAAACTTCTAAGCTTAACCACCAGCTTAGATCTGGTCCACTGCCACCACTCCCAATGTGCTAATTCCCTTCCCCGGGTAGCCTTGAGAGACTCTTCACCAATTCCCTGGTGAATACAGATCCAAACCCCTTGGATCTTAAAACAAGAGAAATTAACCATCCCCCCTCCTTTCTCCCACCAACTCCTGGTGGATCAAGCTCCAACCCCCTTGGATCTAAAAAACAGGGAAAATCAATCAGGTTCTTAAAAAGAAGGCTTTTAATTAAATAAAAAGGTAAAAATCATCTCTGTAAAATCAGGATGGAAAACAACTTTGCAGAGTAATCAAACTTAAAGAGCCCAGAGGACCTCTCTAGCCTTAGGTTCAAAGTTTCAGCAAACAGAGGTAAACACTCTAGCAAAAAGTACATTTACAAGGTGAGAAAACAAAGATAAAACTAACACACCTTGCCTGGCTGTTTACTTACAAGTTTGAAATATGAGAGACTTGTTCAGAAAGACTTGGAGAGCATGGATTGATGTCTGGTCCCTCTCAGTCCCAAGAGCGAACAACCACCAAAACAAAGAGCACACACAAAAGCCTTCCCCACCCCCACCAAGATTTGAAAGTATCTTGTCCCCTTATTGGTCCTTTGGGTCAGGTGTCAGCCAGGTTACCTGAGCTTCTTAACCCTTTACAGGTAAAAGGATTTTGGAGTCTCTGGCCAGGAGGGATTTTATAGTATAGTACACAAGAGGGCTGTTACCCTGCCCTTTATAGTTATGACACGCCCCCCAAATCACAGATAGTGTTGGACAGCTGGTTCCACACTGGCTGTGATTTCTTCCTGGAGCTCTAGGAGAAAACAGAGTTAATAAGACACATGCACCTTTAGACATACTACTGATTATATAAAAACTAACAATATATCCCACATTCCAAGAACAATTTTTAACCAGTTGATTCTGGGAAACTTTCCTGGGAGAGTGCATCAGCCACTGTTAGAAGCTCCTGAAATGTGTTGTATTTCAAAATCAAAATCTTGGAGAGCTAAACTCCAACGAAGAAGTTTTTTGTTATTCCCCTTGGCGGTATGAAGCCACGTTAGCACAGCATGGTCGGTTTGTAGTTGGAAACATCGTCCCCAAACGTATGGGCATAGCTTTTCCAGCGCGTACACAATGGCGTAGCATTCCTTTTCGCTGATTGACCAGTGGCTTTCCCTCTCAGACAGTTTCTTGCTGAGAAACATGACAGGATGGAATTCTTGATCTGGTCCTTCCTGCATTAAAACTGCTCCCACACCCCGCTCGGATGCATCTGTGGTTACAGGAATGATTTGTCAAAGTCTGGGGCCCTTAGCACAGGGTCAGATATGAGTGTCGCCTTAAGCTGGTTAAAGACCTTTTGACACTCATCAGTCCACTGAATTGCATTTGGCTGTTTCTTTCTGGTTAGGTCTGTCAGTGGGGCGGCGATTTGGCTGTAGTGTGGTACAAATCGCCTATAATATCCGGCCATGCCTAAGAAGGATTGGACCTATTTCTTTGACTTTGGAACTGGCCACTTTTGGATAGCATCCACTTTGGCCTGTAGGGGATTTATAGTTCCTTGACCCACCTGGTGCCCCAGGTAAGTCACTCTGTTTTGGCCTATTTGAGACTTTTTAGCCTTAACAGTTAGTCCTACCTGCCTGATGCGCTCGAAGACTTTTTCCAGGTGCTGCAGGTGTTCTGCCCATGAATCAGAAAAAATGGCCACATCATCGAGGTAGGCAACTGCAGATTCTCCCAATCCCACTAGGAGACCATCTACAAGTCTTTGGAAGGTGGCAGGTGCATTTCGCAGCCCGAAAGGGAGAACATTAAATTCATACACCCCTGCCTGGGTGACGAAGGCTGACCTTTCCTTGGCGGGTTCATCTAGTGGTACTTGCCAGTACCCCTTGGTTAAGTCTAAGGTAGAGATGAATTGGGCATGTCCCAATTTCTCCAATAGCTCACCTGTGCATGGCATTGGATAGTTGTCAGGACGAGTTACAACATTTAGCTTACGGTAGTCCACGCAAAAGTGTATTTCCCCGTCTGGTTTGGGAACTAGAACCACTGGAGATGTCCATGCACTGTTAGAGGGACAGTTTATACCCATCTGTAGCATGTCCTGGATCTCCCTTTTTATAGCAGTTTGGGCATTGCTCTGTCCCAGCCCCCCCAGGACAACGTGGGAGCCCCGTTACCGTCACAGATCTCCATTGGGTCGGTGAAGAAGCGATTCCCATGTGACTGGTATCCATCCAGGCAGGTGCAGTGGGTGTTGTTCACACACTTGGCATTTTCTGGGCATAGCATATGGCTGTTGCAGTCCTCAGTGGTACCTGTAGGGGCGGGAACAGCTGGGCAGGGTCAGCCAGTGCAGAGCAGCTCCCCACACCCCCAAACACAGTGGGATCGACTCCTTTCACACACCCCATTCGCTGATTTTCGTCCCTGGGCGCCTGGCAAACAGCTCCGACGCCATCCACCGCCTGGCAACAAACTGCCCTCGGCTGCACAGGGGCCTTGGCTCCCCGGGGAGCCACGGCACAGACAGGCAGAGCCGCCGGAGCCGGGCGTCGCTTCAAGTGAAACATTTTCGCTCTCACCCAATTTTTCTCCTTTTTGTTGCTGCCGTCGTTACTCTCGTTAGCGTCAATTTCAAACCCAAAACCTCGCTCCAAACCGGAAAACGGGAATTTTTTGTTTTGAAAATTATTTCATCTTCCCCCCCACACACACAATTTGTTCCGGAGTGAAACCAAACATTCCTCTGAACCGAATCGGCATTTTCTGGCAAAAAATGGGTCCTTGGGAAGTTCCTGCCTGGCTCTGCTCTGGATTGACTGAGAGCGGAGTCGGGCGCGAGGCTAGTTTGGATCCTGAGCTGCCTCCCATGACCCAGACTGTGACCTGCCTACGGGGGATCCTGGATCCTTTAGCTGCCCGGTGTCTGGGGCTCCGCTGGGATCCGTCCCTCTGGCCAGCGTGAGGGGAAGGATCTCAGCGCAGCTTAGCCGGCTGCAGGGCTTGGGATGGGAGCAGACGGAGCAGGGTGGGTGCAGCACTGGGGGACCCCAGTGGGTCAATGGGAATTTGCTCGAATCCCATCTTGGGATTCGCAGCAGAGCTGGGCTTGGGGTGCAGAGTCCGGATCCCAAACGCCCCATAGATGGGCACGTGGGTCCCAGGTTTCAGTTCAGCCTGATTTTAGAGGGACGGAGGCACCTACAAATGCGACTTCTAATGTCTGAGCCATCAGGGGGTTGATTAGGGCTGGTCAATAACACAGCCCTTGGCTACAAAGGGGATCTGCCCCTCACTCCAGCCACCAGTGTAGAGCCGTGGGCTCCAGTGTCTATTCTCTGCTGGCCACGTGGCTGGGAAGGGAAGGGGAGGGCTACAGAGGGGCCTTCTCCTCTCCCCTGCACGCACCCACCGTGCTCTATAAACCCACCCCAACACGCCCACGCCAAGGGGCTGCTCCCGGCTCGCCAGACCCTGACTCTGCTCTCCTCCCACAAGGGAAAGGGACCAGAGGGGGCAGAGGCCAGAGACCCCAGGCAGCCGGGAGCATTCGGGAAGGTTAGCCAGGAGGAGTCAGCCTTACCTTGTATGATATCAATCTGGGCCACGGTGCCCCCCAGGCACAGGGCGATGCAGAGCCCTGGAAGGCAAAGAGACAGGGTAAGGCATCATGGGCAGGCGCCCCAGTCCTGCCAATCCTGGGCCAATGGCCAGTCAGTGCCCTGACGATGGTGGAATTAAAAATGCAGAAACCTGGTGCTCTGGGAAATCAGCCCGAACTGATTTACCAGATGATAAAGGACCCCGGGGCCGAGTGCCTGAGGTGACGTGAAGAGGGGAAGCAGTGTGCTGTGGAATCCCATTCTGCTTTCCTAGGAAGGGAGCTAGAAAGGGGGCGCGGCTTTGAAATTCAAACTCCAGTCGATCTTCCCCGGGGAGACTCCATGGAGGAGGAGGGAGCTGGGGAGATGACGGCATCACAGTCCCCGGGGAGCGAAGGCTGAGCCATTCATTCAGAGATTCTAAGGCCAGGAAGGGAGCAGGCTGGTCCGGCCTCTCACACTGCACAGGGCAGAGAATGACCCAGGGATTCCTGCATCCAGCCCATAGCTGGGGATCGAGTTAGCCCAGAGCTTGAGAGAGGACAGCCCGTCTGTTTGACTCCAAGTGATGGAAATGGCTATTGTGTGTTCGCACTGTCAGCTGCCTGTGCAATAGCGTGTTCACACTTGTGACACTTGTAGCGGTATTCGGAGCGATGCACTCTGAGCATCTATCCCACAGAGCACCTCTTTCTCTTCTGTCACTAAGAGTTGTGGGAAAGCAGAGAGGGTCTGGGGGAATCCTGGGTCCTGTCCCAGTGCCCGCTGATGGTTTGCTTTGCATCCCAGCAATCCCTGTGCTTCTGTCTGCATTTGGCGCCATCTTTCAACAATTTGTGTATTGCGTGGCCTGCCTCTTTGGGCTGCAGGAATTAATCCCGAACTGTTGACCAATATGTGGCTTGTTTTGACCAATATGTCAAGACTGGCAGTGAAGTTATTCCTTAAACTACAAAGGGAAGAGGAGTGCGACATGGATCTCGCCACGCGTAGTAGCTACAATACGAGGTTACTTGTGGCATTCACAGAGGTGCTGACCACAGTAGAACGCGACTTTTGGGCTGAGGAAACAAACACTGAGTGGTGGGATCACATCGTGATGCACGTCTGGGATGACGAGCAGTGGCTGTAGAACTTTTGGATGAGGAAAGCCACATTCATGGGACTGTCTGATGAGATTGCCCCAGCCCTGCAGTGCAAGGACATGAGAATGAGAGCTGCCCTGCCGTTGGAGAAGCACGTGGCGATTGCACTGTGGAAGCTGGCTACTCCAGACTGCTACCGTTCGGTCACTAACCAGTTCCGAGTGGGAAAGTCAATCGTTGGACTCGTGTTGATAGAAGTCTGCAGGGCCATTAATCGTATCGTGCTCCAAAAGACCGTGACTCTGGGCAACGTGTGTGACATTGTGGATGGCTTTGCACAAATGGTCTTCCCTAACTGCGGAGTGGCGATAAATGTCACGCACATTCCAATTCTGGCACCAGACTACCTAGCCACTGAGTACATTAATCACAAGGGGTATTTCTCAATTGTTCTCCAGGTGCTTGTGGATCACCGTGGGCGTTTCACAGACATTAACACAGGCTGGTCTGGAAAGGTGCATGACACACACATCTTTTGGAACACTGGCCTGTTCAGGAAGCTGCAAGCAGGGACTTTCTTCCCAGACCAGAAGATCACCATAGGGGAAGTGGAAATGCCCATTGTGATTCTGGGAGACCCAGCCTACCCCTTAATATCGTGGCTTATGAAGCCATAGATGGGGTAACTTGACAGCAGCAAGGAGCAGTTGAACAACAGGCTGAGCAAGTGCAGAATGACTGTTGAATGTGCTTTTGGCCATTTAAAAGACTGCTGATGCTGCCTCTATGGAAAGCTGGACCTGGCCGATGACAATATTCCTATGCTTATAGCCACATGCTGTATGCTCCATAATATTTGTGAAGGGAAGGGTGAAAGCTTCACTAAAAGCTGGATCACAGAGTCTCAGTGCCTGGAAGCTGAGTTTGAAGAGCCAGAGACCAGGGCTACTAGAGGGGTGCAATACGGGGCATCAGGATTAGGGATGCCTTGAGGCAGCAATGTGAAGCTGAAGGCCACTTATATTTCTTGCTATGCTCGGGAGTGCAGTGCTTGTAGTGCTAGGAGGTGATTGGTGCAGATGATGCAATATGTGGGTTTAACATAATGGTATGTTGCTTTGCAGGGACCTTTTTGCTTTCAATAAATAAAATAAAGATTGCTTTCAAACCCGCACAATTGTTTTGTTAAAAAACAACAACTGGAGGAGAGAGTCAAAAAACATCAGCAGTGGGGGGGATGGGGAAGAGAAGGTCCCAGGAGGAGGAGGGGTCCGGGGCGGCTAAAGATTTGTTTATGTCCAGGGATCATATCCAACCTTCTCCTTTGGAGTACAATGCAGCGGGTGCTGTACTTCAGCAGGGCCACACTGCAGAGGGATGGGTGTTGAGTGCAGTGGGCAGTGGGAGTCCGCAGTGCTGGACTGTGAGGTGGGAGGAGTGGAAAGCCGCGGGTACAGACTGGAGCAGGAGATTGATAAGTGTGTCTTAGGGGTGTCTGGGGGGTGCATGAGAAAGTGTTTTGCGACAGCGGCTGCAGGGGAGGGTGGGCGCAGAGCTGCTCAGTTTCAAGAGCTAGTATCGCCTGGAGCGTGTCTGCTTAGCGCTCCATAACCTTTAAGAGCCGCTCCGTGACTTCATTCTGGCGCGCCGCGTTCTCCTTTGGTCCCTCTTCTCGCTGTCCCGCCACTCCTGCAATTCCTGTTTCTCGGCGGCAGAGTGCATCATAACATCACGCAGAAAATCCTCCTTAGTTCTTCTTGGCCCCTTTCTAATTCTGCACAACTGTTCAGCCGCCGATAACCAAGAGGGAGGCTGGGCTCCCAGGGTCACCTCTGTGAAGTTTAAGCACGACATTTTATGGAAGCAGGATTGTTTGCAACACAGAGAGCACTGATTCAGTGCTTTAAACACAGCCAGTACTCACACACCTGGCACTAACTGGCTGACCCCAGGCAAGCACATATGAGCCACAAGACCCCCAAAATAGTGAGTAGCCACAGGGGCAGTGTAAATCACTCTTCTCGGACCCTGCTGTACACTGGGCATGTGGCTCTTGGGGAGAGCCAGCACAGTAGGGAGGGGTTGATAATTCCTTTCCCCACACTTTCCACAGGATGTGATCATTATGGAAGATATCTCACTGCTGAGAGTCAGCAGGGAATCAAGGGAGGGTCTTCTCCAAGACTGTGGCTTCTGCCCTGGCCCCTATGCAGCTCATCTGTGTGCAGCAATGGTCCCCCCACCACGATGGCACAGTGGTGCGGGAAAGTTAATGTTAATGGGGCAAGAAACAAAGCAGCTGTGCCAAAGAACGTGTGGCAGTGGATTGCCCAGTATCTCCACGAGAGTTTCCTGGAGATCTCTGAGAGAGATTCCCCTGACGTGAGGGAGTCAATCAACAGCCTGTTCCTCTGCTCAGAGTAGGCCTGCGGTGGGAGACAAGCCTGCTTTCTGCAACCCTCCTTCCCCCAACAACTCACTTGAGTGATTCCCAAAATCAAATCCACTTACCAGGGGCCTCCTCTCTTGTTTGCACTTCGCCAACATCTGTGACTGGCTAGTCTCCTCCGGGGTAGAAAAGAGCTCCTGGCTGCATCCATCTCTGACCTCCGAGTCATCCTTTGCCTCTGTATTCCCCTCCCCCTCCACATCCTCATCCAAGATTTCCTCCTCCTGGCTCAGTCCACTTTCGATTGGCATGCGAGCCACCAAGGTATCCACAGTGGTTTTTGCAGTGGAGGTGAGGTCGCCGTCGAGTATTGTGTCCAGCTCTTTGAAGAACCGGCAGCTCGAAGACGCAGCACCAGAGCGGTGGTTTGCCTCCCGTGCCTTCTGGTAGGCTATCAGCAGCTCCTTCCCTTTGACTCTGCACGGCAACGTGTCCCGGTCATGGCCCCTTTCTATCATGCATTGTAAAATCTGTCTGTAGGTATCATAATTCCTAGAGCTGGAGTGCAGTTGGGACTAGATAGCCTCCTCTCCCCAAATATCGATGAGGTCCAGCAGCTCGGCATTGCTCCAAGTGGGAGATCGCCTGGTGTGTGGAGCAGGCATGGCCACCTAGAAAGATGTGTTGAGACCACTGCATGCATCACCGAGCAAACAGGAAGGGGACTTTCAAAATTCCAAAGGAATTTACGGGATGGGGATGATGCTTGGTCACCTGAGGGTAGGGTAGTAGAGTTCAAACCAATGTCCAGAGAGGCGAGAACAGGCATTGTGGGACACCTCCCGGAGGCCAATTGCAGCGCTGTAATCAACCAGGGTGTCTACACTGGCACTGTGGCACTGTAGCCCTGGTGCAGAAACCTCTACGCCTCTCATTGGGGTGGTATTTTTACAGTGCTACAACTGAGCAGTTTCTGCGCACTAAGTGGCCTGGCAGTGTGTAACCTCGGGAGTTACAGTGCAGAAAGCTGCTTTACTGCACAGAAACTTGCCAGTGTAGACAGGGCCTAAGATGTTTCCAGCAGTCACCCTGGGCAGGGATTCAGTGGTTAACTCACTTCCCTGCCTTAAATAGGATTCAGATATGGCGGGAATCCTTTGTTTCCTAGTTTGATCCCCACCCACTATTAGTGGAAATATACTGGTAGTCCAGTACCAGGTGACATGATCACATGACCCTGCAGTGTCAAAGCAGCGTCCCAGGAAGCTTCTCAGGAAGGTGGGAGATTAGCATCTTCAAAGTTCTATTGTCCGTCTTAAATGGCCCATCCAGGCTGATTGCTTATTGTCTGGTGGATGTTCCCCAGGTGCAAACCCTCTAGTAACTGTTATATAGTCAATTTTCCTCACTTCAGCTACAGAATTGATACATGCATACAAATAGGATAACCATATTCAGTAAATCATAACCTTGCCAATGATACCTCACATGACCCATCTTGCATAGAACACATCTGTTATGCCAGATTCATATCATAACAATATCCTATGAGGAATATCAGGCG